ACTTCTCACAAACTAAGAACTTCGTTCTTGGTGACGTCTTTCAGCGCGCGTGGCTCCCGGCTGCCTCTTCCCCCATTCACAGATAGGGCAGCGGTTGTTAGCATGGAGAAAGTTGAAGCCATTCACGTCCCCTTAGCTTCACTGCCGTGCTATAAATGTGGCACCAAAGGTAAGCAACAGAAACCAGCAGTTGATTGTGGCATTTATTTTAAAACCAGACTCTTTATTAACTTTGTCTGCAAGGATTCTTGCTAAGTGTGGATGATCTTATAGATACAGAGTTAGACAATTCACAGTAAGAAAACAAGTCAGGACTCACCATGGGAAGTTTTGTTTGGATTCATTGTGAATTCTCCTAGATTGTCACCGGTATCTTACCACAGTCAGCAGGTCTCCTCAGTTCTTTGGATTTTGTCGCTGCGACTACAATGATACATTTTTGTGCATTCATATAAAGAACAAAATTTAAAATATACATTTTATTTTTTAAAAGTTATTAAATATTCTTTAAAGTTTACAACAGAATGTCTTTTGTATTCTTTATAATCAACTGCACTACAAGCTATACAGTGAGTATACACATACCCAAAGATGTGTGTGTGCAAGTGCACACGCACAGTGTACACAATTAAAAAAAAAAAAAAAAAAAAAAAAAAAAAAAAAGAAAACCCCACAGCACACTTTTTTGTCATTTCTCATCCTATTTTTGATTTGACCTATCCTTCCTTATAGATTTTTTTTTTTTTTTTTTAATTATTTAAGTGGCTTACTGATTCCCAGGTAAATTTACACCCCTTTCTGTTTCCTCTTAAGGGCAACCTGAAATTACATGATAGTTGATCACAATTCAGAAAATACTGGGAGATCAGGTTTACAGTGTAACAATGTATAAATACTTAGACCCGAAACCTATTATTTTCTGCTTAGAACTTGTCTGTTACTGATAATTTTGAAACAAAAGGACTTTCTTTTTCTGAGGTAGTTGCTTAGATTCAGAAATCACATAGAAAAGCTTCGAAAATGAACACCAGACTGTGTTAAAATGGAACAACTAGGAACGCCTACTATGTTGGATCAGAAGAAGGTCTGGTCAGCCAGGTATCTCGTCTGAAGTCATGTCTAATACTGCCTTTTTCAGTACAATTTATTGTACCCTCCAGGCAAGTGAAATTGCCTCTAAACTGGGTGCGTTCTGAACACCACCACAGGCATACTGTTGAAAGCGTAAGGGTAGACACAGCCTGAACGTGGAGATCCAGAGGTTTTAGAGGTTGTTGCAGGAAACCTCATAAAGGATAACCCAGACCTTTGGTGGAAGTTTCTTACAACTCCCTCAGTTCAGTAGGCACATTTACATTACTTGAATTTTCTTCATCCTGTTAAGCGTACCACTAGATGGTCTCATTAACCACATCTATCTTTAATCCCTTTCCAACTTTGTGAAACTTTCCACTTCCGTCTTACATTGTAGCAGTGAATTTCACAATTTCATCATGCCGTATACATTTAAAGGAACTCTTCTTATATGGATTTTAACAAGTTGCCTTTCAATTTCATTTATTCACCATTAGTTCTATATTTCAGGAATGCTAATTTAATGATTCTTACAGAAATATAAGGGCACAGAGCAGCTGTATTACCTTTACAGCCTAATTTGTCTTTCCACTAAAGACTAAACCTGGGTAATAGAGTATGCTATTGATTTTCAAGATCCCATTGTTTCAGAAAACTAAGCCCAGTGTACCTTCCCCCAGCAGTTCAGTTGTCTTTGCTTTTTGAACTACATGTTGGCACAGACAGAGGTGTTTCTATTTTAATCAACAACTA